GGAACACTTATGTGTTTCACATGAATGGAGTTACATATGTCTTGCCTCGTTTGTATCCTAAACAAGTAGAAGAAATTCAATTGACATTGATGCAAGCTCTCAAACCAGCCTCAAAGAAGGAAGAAATCAAAGAGAGAAAAGTGGAACCTCCGTGTTTGGAATTGCAATCACCACTCCAATCCTCTAACTCAGTTTTTAGCCAAACAAAGGGACCACAATCAGTGATACAGTGGAAAGGACCAGCCCAAGGTGTCAAAGTGCAACCTCTCTTGGTAACTAAAAAGGATAGTATGCAAGAGAAAGGAAGGGGAGTCACTTTATACTCACTTTTATTCCAAAAGCATGCATTATTATTCTCTAGATTTCTTTGCCATGTTTCTATTAATGACGTACTTGCTAGATGTGTTAGAAATTTGTTTGCCTCCATACATCCAAGATTCCTTAATTTTGATTTTACTAAAACTTTGTTTGATAGAGATAAGGAATCACTGGAAAGTTATAAGGCACATTTGAAAACTTCTTATGTGAAACACTACTTGCTCAAGGGGTTTTGGTTCAAAGTCAATGGGATTGGCACTTTTTGCTTTGTTTTGGGCAATGGTTTAATTGTTGATTCACATAAAGGACACTTTAGTTTTCCAAAGAGTGATGATGTTTTGCATGGATATTTTCATTGGCCAAAGAAGAAAAAAGATGTAGAATCTTATGTTCATAATTGTGCTACTTACCACCACAATACATCTAAAACATTACTTGATATTTCCATGGATTTTGTGTTTGGTTTAGCCTTAAGCTCTAGAAGGAAAGATGTTGTGCTTGTTGAAAATTCAAACAAGATGGCTAAATTTAATATGTCTCGTTTTGCTGACCTATTACTATCCAGAATGTTTAAATTCCATGATGTGTCATTAGACTTAATTGCCTTACTTGTTGATTGTAGGATGATGATTGGAGTGACTCGTGTCAAGCACCCCAAGAAAAAGTTCCATGAGCGTGATAAAACAGAAAGTGAGCTTGCTACTTTGTCTTTCATTGAAGATTTGGATTCGAGGACAAATCCTTTTCAAGAATGGGAGAATAATAAGAACCAGCACACATGGAATCCAATAAGGGTGTATAGTGGCTCATCACAAGGCCAAAAAGTACATCCTTAAAGCATCATTGGTGGAAAAAATCAAGGAATTCCAATAATAATTCCATTCGATAGAGGAAAGTATTATAGTGGCCCGTTTCAAGTGATGTCACGGATCGAAGACAATGTTTATAAGATTCGAGGTCGAATCATTTTTCAAGAAGGGGAGGATGATGCAGCCCAACATAATGAAGATCCATTAAGATTACAAATTGGGCCAATCACAAGATCCGAGGCCCAAATCAGCTTTATTATTTGTGGTCATCATTTATTTTAAATTGTTTAGAATTAAAGAGAAAACACTAGTTGTATTTAGAAAGGATTCCTTAAATCCTTTTCTAAATAAAACTCTATTTACTTGTTTTCTAGATTAGGTTTAGGACTCTTTTTCCCATTGTATTTAGATTACAATGCTGCCCTATACCTATAAATAGGGCACATCCATATCAGTTTTGGCAGGCTTTAATTCAATAAAATTCTTAAGTTTTCCTTTACACTTGTGTAAGAAACCTTATGGCTAATTGTGGACTCTAGTGGTTAGTCGTGGACTCGACTAGCAAATTGATTCGTGGACTCGAATCAATCTTCCTTTCTTCAACCTTAGATTTAGGTTCGTGGACTCGTTCTTGAATCGAAGGAAACTAGATCCGACTCTAGTTGATTGAAGATTGCAACATCGAGGTACTTGAAGCTACAATGGGATTCTTCCAAGTCTTTGAGGATTCGAGACAAAGGGTTTCTCGTGAGGTCTAAGGTACTTTGATCCATCTCTATCTTTACTTTTGAGAGCATTCTTGGGACATCTTTATGTGAACCTTGGACTAGGTTCATATCACTACCTCTACCTCATAGTCCCACTGCTCATCTACTACATGTTCTACATACATTTCAACCTCTTTATTTTTGGAAATTTCATACATGATACTCAACAGTTCAACATCTGTTTGAATTTGTCACACATTTAGATAACTCTTAGAACCATATTTAAACAAAAACTTAACCTTCTGATAACTAAACTTTAAACTTTTCACCATGTTTCTTAATTCTAAAATGCTACCTTCTCCAACAAAGTAGTTGTCAAAATACTCAATTCTAGAATTCTTATAGTGAACTCTAGGTTTCAGCACTAGATCTCCACCATAATACAGTTTGAGAGTGTACATATCTAGCTCAGCATCTGGCTAGAAAGAAATCAGCACATAAGTACAATAATTTCAAGTCAAACTACTGGGGACCATAACAAGAAAGCTCAATTTCACTAAACTGAGATATTTTTTAACAACACACAGTATTGGGGACCACATGTACCTTTAATCTATGTGAACAGGAAAGAAAAACAACAATTGCACTAATTTGGACAAAAAAAAAAACCTAATTCACACAATGTTTGGACCTACACACATGGGGAGAATCCAGCAAACACACATGTTCAATAAATTATAATACAAACCAAACAACAACAAACTATTAAGGGTCCCAACTATTAAATTACTACCATTTATGGCAAGTCAGACAACAAGCTTCGAATTCCTATTAAAGTACTGCTATTTAATTTAATACTTAAATTTGGGTGTAGTAGTTAGTCCAGATAGCCTTCGACTAGTAATTATTTCATACTCCAAGCTTTGAATTCCTTCCGATTTGTTCTGTACTAAATGAGTATTTAAGATAGGGTTAGGGTTTTGAACGATCACACGAAGAAGAAAAGAAACTGTAACACCTCCAAAACTAGACATATTTTAAATCATTTAAACCTAGGTTATCTGGTTTTGGAAAGATTCAGTTGAAATAAGAAATCGAGAATGAAAGGTTTATATTTTAAACTCAAGACCAACGTTGGCTAGAAAGGGAATCATGATTTTCAAGGCTACAACTTAGGAAAATGAGGTTGTCACCTTGCATAGGATTGGTTTGAGAAGGAAACAAGAACGAGGTTCGAAAAGATAGGAAGGATTTCTCAATAAAAAGGCTTTTGGTTTGACAAGGAAAGGATAGGAAATCGGCTTAAAGAGGATTAAGGATTCTCGACTTTAGGCGGTTTCTTCGGCTTGACGCTTTGATCACGACACTTTGTCGGACTGAAGGTGTAACACCCCCTTAATTTCCAAGCAGAATTAAACCTTTAAACATGCAGATAACTAACCAAAACATCGAACACAGCGGAAGACTGAACAAGGATTATATAAACAGGAAATGAAAAGGGTGCTATGACACGCTCACCCAGAGGTGAACGCACAGGCTAACATCTGCATAAACCACAATCTAAATCCGTACATAACAAGAGTACTAATGTCTATCCTTGGCACACAGGCCATAACAACTCAAACAACGGGACCCACACTAACAGGTTCTAGACCGCGCTCTCGTCTATACATCACCTGAAAGAAACACATAAAAGATGGGACGACGCCCGGTCAACGAATAATGCTGGTAACCCACCAATACATGTGAAATATCATACATAGATAGGATATATATATATATATATATATATATATATATATATATATATATATATATATATATATATATATATATATATATATATATATATATATAAGTTCAAAACCAAGAGCAGAAGTCAACACAAGACTCTATGCACACACAACAAGAATACGGGAACACATCCCAAGACCACAAGAAGTAAGAACAACTCACAAGAACGGCTCAAGGCATAATCTACCATCACACAATAGATTTACACCCGACTTGCATGATACAAGAGAAAGGACACAACCATTGGCAACACATTGTGTAATACCCCATATTTTCTGGGCATTATACGAGGACCGTATGTGCGTACGGAGTTAATCTTATTAAATTCTCCTATCCTTGTTATCTAATTTTATTCTTTGGACTCCGAATATGACCTTATATCATCCTAAACCCAAGTTATGTTTAAATATTATATTGAGCCTACTAATTTTCTAAAATAGATATATATGCTATATAATATACTTTATTATTATTATTATTATTATTATTATTATTATTATTATTATTATTTTTATAAATTAATAATAATAATGTGATACGTATATATATGTACATTATATACTTACCAAAGTATATATTATTATCTAATTTAAATATATTATTATTATTACCTTAATTCATGGCCAATCTCTATCTATATCCTCTTCTATTATAATAAAGCAGAACTCATAGTTCCTGCCAAAAGTAATAAAAAAATAATAAAATATAAAATATATATACATTTACAAATTTAATGCCGTGTCTGTTCAGAATAATATATATATATATATATATATATATATATATATATATATATATATATATATATATATATATATATATTTACAAATTCAATGCTGTGTCTGTAAAAAATCCCACGCCTGTTCAGAATTCAAATCAAATACATAATAATATTAAAGGATATATTTAAAAGAACAAATTAATAATCGTGTCCGTTCAGAATATAAAATATAAAATATATATATACAAATTTACAAATTCAATGCCGTGTCTGTTCCGAATCTCACGTTTGTTCAGAATTCAAATCAAATACATAATAATATTATAGGATATATTTAAAAGAACAAATTAATAAGGATGCAACAATATTTATTTATTGCACTTCATATTTCCTGCAATATATATATATATATATATATATATATATATATATATATATATATATATATATATATATATATTATTCAATGAATCATCATTCCTTTGGGATTCCAAAACGTTAGTATGAATATAAAGAGTCCCAAATAAACATTCATAATAGAACTCTAATTCATGGCTTATAAAAGGAGTCTAATATCATTTCATATACATCCCGGTAATTCTACATCACTACAAACACTTTGTTAGATCAGTCAAAAATACCATTTCAAGTATGCCTCCTCTCTACATTTTGGCCAATCAGATAACACCCATGAAAACCACTTGTGCGTTGAAGGTAAGATGTATTCGTACATATGGAGTTAGAGAATGTAGCGGCAGTGAGGTTGTCAAATGTCGAGAATGCGTGTTCCATGATCGGGAGGTAAGCATCTAATCTATGAAAATAAATTCATCAATTGCAGGGTAATTTGCAAAATCACAATAATATAAATTCTTTTTTAATGTAATTGCAGGGTAATGTCTTACATGCTAATATACCACGTGAGCATGTTGCTAAATTCCAGAATAGATTCGTTGAAGGCAAAGTTTATTGTCTAAAAAATTTTCTGGTTGTTACTAACTTTTATACTTATAAGAGTAGCAATAACAAATTTATGGTCAAGTTAAACTATTCTACCATTGTCAAGGAGTACAAAAATCAATATTTTCCTAGGCACATGTTTCGTAGTTTTAAATCTTTGAAATCAACTGAGATAGACGACAAAGAACTTATTGGTAACTAATCTACTTCATTACTACTTCATCAACTGAGATAGACGACAAAGAACTTTCGTAGTTTTTTTTTTTTTGATACTGCATTCGTATTTATATTGGATTTGATTCTTTGTAAGTTGTAACTTTCTATTTTTTTTTTTTGTAGATGTGATTGGAAGGATAATTGAAATATATTCTCCTATAGAAAAGGTCATTGGTGGAAGGCCTTCCCGGTTGATAGACTTTCTTATGGAGGATGAAAGGTTTATTATGTGTTAGTTCACAATTTTATTGTAATCTTAATTTTTTTTGGATACTGAACTGTTTTTGTGTCTTTAGTGGTGAGGAAATGAAATGCACTGTCTGGGACGACCATGTTGATAAGGTCGATTCTTGGTACAAAAAAAGTGCCACTGATCTTATCATTATTTTGATGCAATTTTGTAGGGTAAAAGCCTGCTTCAACAGTAAGTTCACATCTCTACTTGATTTTATAGCCTATGTAGTTTTTTATTATTTCATTAATACAAATTATTCTATCTTTTTCAATAGCTGGGGAAACTAAAATTTCATCTTCATATGATGCGACTCAATTATTTATAAATGAAGACATTCCTGAAATAATTGATTTTAGGGAAAGGTAAATACTATCATTGAGTCTTCAAATTTTTCGAGTTTGTGAGTTTTTTTATTCTTAATTTCTGTTGTTTTCACATTAGCATGTGTGGTGAGAATACTCCTATGCGGAGTATTTGTTCTAATGCAAGTCTATCTGCTGTCAATACTTTTGACACATTCAACCGTGAGTCTATGATTATGAGTACAATAAGTGATGTGTATGAGAAAAGACAAGTATGTTTATTCTAAAGTCCATTACTTATTATAATATAAGCAATAGTCTTCTAGACTGACTTTTTATTTTTATTGATATCCAGTTTGGAGATTATTGGGTTGTCGCGAAGATTGTTGGAATAGAAAGTGGTTTGGACTGGTGTTATAACTCATGCAAGACACGGGGATGTAACAAGAAACTTTCCTTGAATACGAAAGGATTCTATGACTGTTACAAGTGTAAAAGAACATGGGGAGAAGGTATTTTGAGGTACAGAATTAAAGTGAGAGTTGTTGACAGGGATGGTAATGCATCATTCCTTTTATGTGACAGTGAGTGTAAGGAATTGATAGGCATGTCGGCTATAGAACTGAGAGGAAAATATCCACAGGTAATGCACAATTACTTATTAAATTCGTTTACTTTCAAAGTCTAAAGCTTATTGTACTATTAACTATATCTAATTCTTGACTTATAGGATAAACAACTATTCCCAAATGAGATTTCATCGTTGTGTTCTATGACACTGATTTTTAAGATTTCCGTGAGAAAAGAACAGTTTCAGCTTCCTAATGCCTTCGCTGTTATGGAGATTATTAACGATTATTCATTGGTTGGTTCCTACTGTCCTAAATTATTGGAAAACTTTGACAGTGATCCAACTTCTAAGCTGGAGTCCAATGACTGTTTTGAATCAGATGAGGTAAAATTGAAATATTTTTACCTTATCAATTCAAATCTCTGTCTTAATCCTATATTAAAATTAATAAAGCTTTCTTTTTCAGGAGTTTCTTTCAGAAGGTGAGGGTGAAATCCAGTGGCCTTAATTGGGACTGCAAACGATGTTGAGGATCTAGACTCGGGGAGTTGTCAAAGCGTTGTCTATTAGATGAGTTTTTCTCAAGCAAGACCTCTTCAAAGAAACTACCAATGAACACATTTGATGATGCAAATTGACTTTTAAAGAAATTTTAAGTTGAATCATTGTTTTGGTGTTCGGTACTGGTCCCTTCAAACATTGAAGACATGTTTGGCTTTATTTTTTTAATAAACTTTGAGCCTTTTTAAAATCCTTAATAGTTAAGGATTTTGCTATCTTTTTCAGACTAATCTTTATAACGACTCTTTTAAAATCCTAGCAGGAAAGCATTTGAATAACCTAAGTTACTAAAGAAGGGTCTCCTGAAAATAAAATGTTCTAATCACAGCAACTGAATTACTGAAATGGACAGAAAAACCACAACCTTATTTGCCATATTGCACCCCAAAATTATCTAGCCATCTTTGAAGCTTTGGTTTACCTGGCTCAGCTTCTTCAGTCAACTGCTCAATCCAGCTCAGTGTTGACTCTTTCTATGTCTTCTTGGCCTAAATTGCAATTTGAATAAGAAAGATGAATACATTGATTGATATCTCTATTCCTCCTTCCAAAGTAAAGAATAAAATAAATAGCAATTTCTTTACAAGATTAAAAGTCTCGAAGGTAAATCATGTAATTAATTACATTCAAGAGTAGAAACAGGAACTTCATCGCATTTTATTTGTATATTTCGTACAGAGAATAGAAGTGTAAGATTTTGAGAAACATTTTTCTGAAAATTAAAACTATGAATGTCATCATCTGCCATTTTCTTGAAAAATGGTATAAGCAACATACTCAGACACACAAATGTAGCATATATTTTGCAGGCTCAATAAAAATTGAATAGTCAAGTAGCCTAACAACTTTTACACTTTCCACAATTATTACTTAAATAATTCTGGAGTGGCCATAATTATTGAAAAACATTTAGCTTTAAAATAGTACAAAGTTATCACAACAACAAAATGATATGTGGCTCAACCATTATAGGGGCCAAAAGACGAAAAATATTAAAAGTATTAAGGAAAATATGTCTAAATACAGTCTAACAGTAGAAAAACATTAGAAATATTAAGAAAATAATTAAAACTTACCGGATCTTAAGAACACTGTCTGTATCAACCATGGACGACGAAGATTTTATACTTCATCAACCGTCTGCATGTGCATCTAGGAATGTTTCTAGAGTAGATATTGAGTTGTATTCCTTCTTTTCTTTTTCTTTTATTTTTTCTTTTTTGCCGTAGTAGTTAGATCTGTAAATAAAATATAAAAAACAAACTTAGGATTTAGATCTTGATCTGTAAATTATTTTTTTACCCGTAGAAAATCATCAAAACTTACTGTTTCTTATGAAAGCTCTCTGTATCGCCATGGTTGTCGAAGTTTGTTGCTCGGATCATTAAGCTGCTATGGCGGTGTGCAGAGTAGGTGTTCTTCTCTGCTCTGGGTGTTCTTCTCTGCTCTTTCAATGCGCACCTTACGGAACCAACAAACGAACAGTTCATCCACGATGTTGTTCTTACGGAAATTCAATAAAATTTGTGGTGTGGTAGAGAATGAAGTGATTTCCAAATGGGTACGGGTAGAGTGAGATTGATAACAATGATATGAGATGAGAGATGAGAGATGAGAGATGAGAGGAAGATAATTTGGGGAAATGGTGAAAGTTGCCTAACACGTGCTGGATGCCTTTTTTATACTTAGGCTAAATTATTTGCTGGGCTGTGAAATATATATGGGCTGATGGTCCATTAAAATTACAGTATTTACTAATCAGCCCATTATAAATTAGTCTATAATATATATATATATATATATATATATATATATATATATATATATAATCCTAATTATATACCCATCTTTATCTTTATATTTAATATACTTATATTTTTTTATTTTAATTATTAATTATGTATTCTAACTTTTGTTCATTTTTTATGTCATATACATTATTAATTTTGTATTACATGATATGAATTTATCACAACTTTATAACATCGTAAAATACTTGCTTAATTATGGACAAAATCAAGCATTTAGGTACAGATTGCTATAAGAGTAATCCTAACGGATTGAAGATTTTTATTTGTAATGACTTGAACAATGTTACTAGTTAGTATGTCAACCACTAATGTCGTTTACCCTGAAGTGTTTAATAATGTTTAATATTTTTTATTTACATAAGTAGTTTTTTATCATTAAAATCTTCTTCATATTCTCTTTTGTTCTTCAAATATATTCAATGTAATTGGCGTCTAATAAATAAATTCATTTTTGATTAATTAAAATGCTACAAACAAATTTTCAAATTATATCCGTGCATCGCACGGGTCAATTACTAGTATATTTATATAAGTTATCATAATCATTTTAATTTACAGTTACTAATCATATTCCTAACCCTATAAGTTAGGGATCCAAACGTGCTGCCATCTTCATCTCTCATTCTTTTTCGGCCATCTCTCTGCCTCCATCTATATAGATACATGTATACAATATATATCCATACACAGAGAAGTACTCCATGATTTCTTCCCTTCTCTTAAACACAGTTAGCCGACCCACTATTCTTTTTCTCTCTTTCGGACCAACCCTTGGTGTGGACGTACGGTGGAGATTTATAAAGAAGTTGTCGATGATGATTAGCAGATGAGGATGAGTGGTATGGATGGATATGATGGGTATTGACTGTGAGATGATGATGGTATGATCAGGTGATGTTTTTATTTAATTTTGAGTTATTGAGAATGATGATGATTAGGGTATGATTGTTAATAATATTATAATGATTGTGTGGAATGATGATATTGATGATGAGAATTGAGAAGGTTCTGGACGATTAGGGTGATGATGATGAACTAATTGTCTGGTTCAATTTTATAAAAAAAAAATGAAGAATAAGGATATTCTGATGATATGTGAGTAATGATTAAATGATGATGGCATATACGAATGATATTGAAGAGATGATGAAATGGTCTGCTAATTAGAGTTTATATTGATATTGATGCTTGCGGCAAATAAGCTTAATAATAATAATATAGTTACAGTATATAAACTAGGTTTAACTGATTCACAGGTTCTCTATCAAGGGGATTAGATCAAGTGTATAAAGTTTTGACCTCGATGGTAAGATTTCATGTTCATCAAAATTACTTTTTTCGAAAATATTATATGTTGTGTGAATGTGAATATGATGAATATGATATCTATGACTATATTTACTAAATCTATTTGTTCCAAAAATTTATTTATGCGAATTATGTGTTGTATAGTATGAGTTATAATGTTCATGTGATCATAAGTGCATTGTAATAATGTGTGGGGTGATTCTCGAGCTATCGAGAATGGACTTCGACGTGTCGAGCCCTGAAAACTTGGCTTGGTAAATTTTTGGTGTGATGTATGGTTAAAATTGTATTACCACTGGATTATGTACTTTAATTATATTTTGGACAAATCATGTGGAGAAAATGTATTTTGAAGGAAATTGTATATTTTGAGAAAAATGTATTATAGAGAAATTGTATATTTTGGAGAAATGTATATCTTGTAAAAAGGAAGAATTTATTTTTGGAGAAAAGTATTTATCTGTGGAGAAATAATGAAATTTTGAGAAAATAATGTACAGTGTGGTGTTCAGTAAATGTGAGTACAGTTCACTTGGACTAATTACTACTCATCAGGCTTGGAATCCCATGAGGGTGTATCACTTAGGTTATGATCCAGTTTCCAAATTGTTTGAGTGGTAGTAGGTAGAAAACCTGACTACTTGGATCATATACTACCTAGTGGCTTGGAATTCCCTAGGGGTGTACACATAGGTTTTAGTCCAGATTCTAAGTGTATTTCAACGAGGTTTGTTCATTCTCCACTTATAGATATTAATTCTCTATACAAGGAAAAGTATAACTCCACATGTATTTTGGAAAAGAATAAAATCGTATGAGTTTTGAAAATATAAAATCCAAGCCTATATTTTACGGGATGAAGTGAAACTTACTTAGCTTATGCTAATTTTTGTCAACACTTTGTTTTTGTGTCAAAATTATTTTTACAGGTGAACATGGATAAAGGAATTTGAGATGAATTCAAGTTGAGCAGGAATTAAATTGACTCATTGGAGATTTGATATTTTGAGAGTAAATGATTGTAATGTTATTTGCAGTTTATGTATTAAGTTGAATTTGGATTATTCAATTTAAGTTGTATTATTAGCCTTAGCGTTTGGGTATAAGAGAGATACTTGAGCGTGACGGTAACACCCATTTATGTTGGTTAGTTAATGCTTCCGCTATGTAATTAGTGAATTTTTCAATTAAGAAAGTATGATTGTAAGGAAATTTTGATTATGAAAATGGGGGTGTTACACATTGCCCTTGTGACAACACATGTCACAAATAGAGGAATACACAACCACGGCTACACAAGCCTTCGTGACATCACTCATCACGAATTGATATACCTTTCTTATGCCCGGTTCCAACCTTATGGCTACCCCCAACCTTATATCTAGTTCCAATCTTTACCTCCAAGACCCCTGTACACCAAGTCCAACCTTATTCCCCCGGAAACCGTCGTTCCCCCTCCAACAGTCCCTCCAACAGAACCACCAATTTCATAGTACACGAGGATACCGATCACACATGGCAACACATGCTCTGGATAACAAATGTTATCCCAGAAATAAACACGTGAACCTTACACAAAGGTCACAAACTCCATAATCATGTCATGGCCACCACGAGGACCACTGCCGTACCTTGGTGACTAGTGTCCCATACCACTAATTGTGCAATCCAGGTACAGCCACACACACCACACCTCAACAGGAATCAATCAACGGTTCACAACGAAGATATGAAACCATACTCAATCAAGGAATGGGTCACAGCCCAACAGCTACGACGAATAACACAAGTCATCATCAATAATAGGAATGTACAAACAACACACACGCTAGCATTTAAACACCGAACTAGCACGCTCATCAAACGGGTAAACCAAACGTAATTCCGAAGAACACACAAGACTCATCACGGTTCAATGAAACACAATGTTGAACACTTAGCACGATTCAAGACACCAAAACCTACATGGATTTCTACCATATAGTTCTAGACATACGAAACATCAAGAAGACGCTCAAATAGTTCCATAAAAGAACATCGAGAAGTCAAAAGACCAAATACCGAGTCAAAAGAATCACGGGGAAAAAAACCCTGCCAAGCCAACATATGTACCCCGCGGGTGGGCCCACGGGTAGACCCCCACCCGTGGTTTCGCCTGCGGGTACCAACACCCACAAGCCACGTTCCACGCGGGTGGGGCGGCAGGTGGACGCCTGCCCGCCATTCCGCCCACGGGTACATATCTGTACCACAAATTATCCCTTCGGGGATTTTCAACACCAAGCTCAAATTCAAGTCCAAAACATGCCAAATCTCACCAAATACAACAAAATGACTTGAATCAAAGGAATAACCAAGCAATTGAATACATGAACCCTAATAACAAGCTCTAGATATGCATTTTCACAAGACAATGCATAAACACTCACATTTCATAGCAAAATCACATGTAGAATCCAAGATATTATCATACAGGTAAGCAAAATAGATTTTGTAGAGCATGGGTTACCTCTTGTAGATAAAAACCTTCACTTAACACTTCACCAAGCTCCTAATAAGGCTCACCTTCCAAACCCACTTCAAGGACACACCAAAAGATCATAAGGATTCTATCTTTAAGGAAAGACACATTAGAAAACACTAAAAAGATAAGATAAACATAGATCTTACCCTCCTAGATGCTCACATGTATGAAAGGTAGAATCTTGGAGACAAACTTTGAAGATTTGACAAAGCTCCAACTTGGCTTGGGAGAAAAGCTATCTAACTTTTAGAGAGAAGGAGGAGTTCAAGTTTGGAAAGGGTAAGGAGAAAGAATGAGGAGTGTCCTCAAGGTTAGCTTGCATTACTAACATATGGTGAAATGTCTTGAATACCCTTACTAAAATGAAGAGGTGTAAGGGAACAAGGGAACTACTCACAAAGCTTTAGGTACAACCTTGACTTTGGGTTGACTAGTCAATTACTAGTCCCCGACTATTGAATTTTCAGGAATTTAAGGAATTAAATTACAAATTGAATTAGGATTAATTACTTAATTAATCCCTTAATCGAATTTGGATTACGGGGTGTCACATCCTCTCCCCCTTCAAAGAAGCTTCGTCCCCAAAGCTTGTGTACGACGAATTAAAACAAACGGTAAAAAGGAGCAACAATGTGACAAGAGTGTCAAGAACATTCTCTTTTGGTCAAAACCCAAAAGGTTCACAAGACATCAAAACAAGCAAGAAAGTATATCAAGAAAGTATATCAATACAAGGTTTGCAAGAATTTAACCAACGGGGATATTGAGCATAACAAACCCTAAACCAAACACAACCACCAACTTCTAACCAACAACTAAGAACTAATCAACTAGCTCAAAACACCAACTACAAAACCAACTACTCAACTAAACAAACAAGCAAGACCAAGCACACAAGGCAAGCAACAAGCGACTAACAAACGGTAACAACAACTAAGAGGTAACAACGGGCTGCAGAAGAAGAACATGCTTACCACAGCAACGAGCTAGAACGACTCACTCTCTGACTCATCGGTGCTCTCCTCGGACCCTTCGTCATCACCTCCTCTGCGACTCGAGCTGGCCTCAATCTGATCTAGCCTTTGGTGAACGGCAACAAACTTCATCTTCATGTACGCGAAACCTTCTTCGATCATACGGTTCTGTTGACGAAGCAAGGTGACTAAACGCTCCTCATGCATCATGGAATCATGCTACCTTTTGGTGCGGGCTTCCCTTCTTCTTTGATTTTCTTCACTTTCGGAATCACTTTCCTCGACCTCGGCAGCTTCAGGTGCTTCCACCTCTTCCTCATGGCCCGCTTCACCCTCATCTTCTTGATCACCTCCCAAACTTTGGACTGCAAGGTTCAACTTTCCGGCATGAATCTCAAGCTCAACTGAAAGCTCGGCTCTTTCTTCGGGGGATTTCCTTGCAACTTCTTCGAGAGTGATGTAATCACCATCGTCCAACTGAAACAAGTTGCAACTTCGAAGATTGGTGGCATCCAACACCATCTTTCCTACGGGTTTTGGTATACAACCATCAATGCCTACACCCTTCCTGACAAGAATCCAGCTCAACACCATCCCATATAGTAGGCTCTTTTCGGTTGTCATCACGACAGAAAACCATATGTTGCAACATCAAAGCCGGTAGATTGAACTTTACCATGTTCTTGAGGCAAAAAGCAAAGGTGCACTCCAACTTCCCCAACAACTGACTTTTGTTGTTATTGGGCAACAAACAATCTAACACCAGCATCACCAAAATCCTTTGCTCAGCGGACAACCACTTTTTCTCCGGTCTTGGAGCTTGAGTGAAACCACTCGTGCGACCCAACAAATAACTCAAGTAGTCCCGGTACCCCATGGTATCCGTACTAATCCACGAGTTACCACTGTACTGAGCAACTCCCGAAGCAGATAGACTCAGAAGCTGAGCTAGCCTCTTTTCAGACAGGACCACTTTCACACCTCTCACTTTAGAGGTGATTTCGAGCTTATCACCATCCTTTGTCACAACCATGTGACGATAAAATTCCTTAACCAAACTTGGGTAGGTCTTGGCCCTTATGGCGAGGAACCCATCTAACAACCCTTGGAATTTAAGCATATCCAACAAAGAATTAGGGAAAGATTCCGGGTCGAAAGCTTTACCTTCAAGAACGAGGTAATGGGTATCCAACCATTCCACTTTCCTTGCCAAACTTGATCTTCTAGGCATGATAGGAGATGACCCAAAACTCAACAAAAGAAACCCGAAGCTTTCCTCTTCTTCTCCTTCTTCTCGCTGCCCACTCTCTCTCTCTCGCTGCTCTCTCTCTCTCTCGGTTGCGACGGCCCAGCGGCGCGGAGCTGGTCCCGGCAGACGGCGACTCTGGCGGTCGACGGTGGTGGCGGTTCGTCGACGGGCAGGTGGTGGTGGCGGGTGGTAGGTGAGGCGACGAGTTGGGGGGGTTGGTCTCGGCTAAACACGGGTAGGGAGAGGGGAAAAGAGAAGGAGAAATTTTTGGGATTTAGGGATTTGGGGGAAAAATTGGGAAAGAAGATGATTTAATTTGAGGATTTGGGTAAAGTGGAAATTTATGGTTTAGATAAATTAAAATTGGGTAGGTTCTAAGAAATTCAATTAGCTAAAATGGTTAAAGGTTGGGTTGGCAAAAGGTATACTTGGGTTCGATATGGGTTTCCTATTCCCAAACTCAAAGAATACTTGGAGAAATTTAGGTGGTTCTCAAAAGAAAGGTTCGCAAGATTATTCATGTGCAAAGATTATGGAATTAACCCAAGCATGGCTCACTTTAGGAATAAACAACTAACTCTACAACAAGGCTCACTCATAAGACTAAGAGAATCATTCATCAAGAAAGGCTTACACTTAAATACAAAAGAATCGTTTATCAAGGGAAAGCATGACAGGGATAGCAAGCAACTCAAGTAGACAACGAAGAAGCACAAGACAACACACAAGGTAACAGGGAGCAAGATGAGTTTTAGAGACAAGGGTAGGCTAGAAAAGCATTACCTGCTAGCTCCTCCTCCACAAGGCCCTCGGTCTCCGCTTGCGAACGCCCCATCACAAAGACTCTCCCCGATGGCCTGGCCCCGGTTGCTCCACGGCTTGAGCTACCTCCTGATGCTCCTCCGGCTCCTGGGGGTGGTGGCAATGCCCTTTGATTGGCTTGTTGAGGGCACTCGGCAACCTTGTGATCCCTATATCCGCAATGAAAACATTGTAACGCGAAGCCATTGCAACTCTGACCGGCATGTACCTTCCCACATCGATGACAAGGAGATGTCTTGACTTGATTTCCATGCTCCACTCGGTTGGGTCCTTGGGTTGGAGATGATGTATTCCTGGCTTGAAAACTTGGTCACGGCTTCTTGTAAGTGGAAGAGCCTCCACTCTCGGTCCTCTTTCTAGCAAGCTCATAAGACCCTCGTTGAAGCTGCTGAACACGATATAGATCTGCGGCACTCACATATGCATCCTTCAAAGAGCTCGGCCTACTCACGGTCAAGGCCTTTCGTGCCTCATAATTCAAGCCAGCAAAGAATTTCTCAACCTTGGCGAGTTCTGTAGGCACAAGCATCCGGGCGAAGCGCGCTAGCTCAAGAAACTTCTTGTGGTACTCGACCACTGACAGAGATCCTTGCTGAAGATGGAGGAAT